AGCAAAACAGTCCCAATAATTTGAAGTGGATGAGATAAGATTATCTTGAAATTCAAAAAGCTCAACTCTAGTTTATATTCTATCAGCTAATCTGCAAATCTGGGATTCAAGCTGAATTGACTGTCAAAATTTTAAGCTGTAGTTCAACTCAGTTCATTTAATAGAACTATAGTGGAAACTTTTTGATAAGTGCAGTTTCATGCTTCATTTTAATATACAAAAGTAGATTGTCAATATTTTGCACTCTTCTTATTTGAAGATCAATGATTTGTTCTTCTAGATCCGTGGTCCTTAACCTATGGTCCCTGAAAGCACCCGAAGTGGTCCGCAAAGTTATCCCAAAATTATTAAATAAATGACGACGAGTTGATGACAATGCGCAGTACGTCAAGGTTAGAGCTGATAGCAGGCTGGGGTATGGTGCGTGGTCAGAAAATATGAAATTGGAAGGCACTAGCAATAAATTTGCATTTGAATATAAAATCAATCAGTATGTTTATCGCTAAAATTGATCTATGGATCAGCAAAGTCGAAAGAGAGAATTTGTCTGTGTTTGATACATTAAACCCAATTATTGATTGATAGTGTGCTGAGATTAAAAGACAAATACAAAAGAACATTACATTCCATTTGCAAAGTTTGAAAAATGAATTCAATCGCTATTTTCCTGACTGCAAGGACAAAGGTATTCAGAAACTGATTTGCAATCCTTTCATAGTCAACATTTCTAACGAGACAGATGAAATACAAGAAGAGTTAATTGAAATGCAACATGATAGTAACTGCAAGGATACATTCGAGACAGAAATTAATCTTAAAGATTTTTAGAGCCAAAAAGCTATTGCTTTCCCTAAAATTCAAGAAATTGCTTTACAGTACCTAACTTTATTTTCAACCACATATTTATGCGAGCAAGGATTCCTAGTGCTTTTGATAATTAAAAATAAACATTGAAACCAGTTGGATGCCAGTGCCGACATGCATTTGCTTTGAGTATCACAGAACCAAGAATTCAGCAGTTGGTAAACAGTATGCAGTCACAAAAATCACACTAAAATAATATAATTAATGTTAACACTTTCACAAATAATATAATACTCTTGGTTCCGAATAATTTTCTACGTGTTTAATTTATAAAACAACCTTATAAGAACCTATATCACTGCCAAACAGCTCATGGTCCATGGCAAGACAAAAATTTTGATAAATGGTCCCTCATCACTAAAAGGTTAAGAACTGCTATTCTAGACTCTTGACTTTTCATAATTAAAATTAATCAGCCACTTTAAGTAGTTTGTCATTCCAACCTTGAAATTAGAGTATTAATTAATAAGAATACTTACAATTGTGGAAAATAAATGCAGGCAATTTCTTAACACATCAGTTGATTACAGAAAAGAAATCTGAGCCTTGGTCATGACTTAAATCCAAATTTCTTAAAATCCTATTTCAGAAGAAATTTTTGATTTGATGTAGTTATATATATTAAAGACAAACAATTGCCAATTATATCTGGCTATATTATTACTACTACTATTATTATTAATTAAATACTAAGGAATTTGACACTAGAAGCAGGTGTTAGTTGTCATCTCTTATCAAATTTAATAATTAAACTTGTTAATTCTAAAGCTGGAACTATCTTCTAAATACTAAAATTAACACCACCTCAATTTCCAGCATTCAGTGATTAAAAACAAATGTGTTTGGCTATATTCTGTGTCAGGCCATTGAGTGTAGCCAAAAGCCAAAACTTTGAATGACAACAGTTTTGTCATTTCAAATTATAATAAATAACTTTTACACTTGAATTAATTTACAAATAGGCTATCAGATTTCCTGATTCCATTTTCTGTATGAAGTAATCTTTTCTTTGTGATTTCATTACTTTTGTTTGACTCATCATTTTAGAGCATGTACTGTACTTTCAACTAAACTTAAGGTACATTCATTATTTTATTATCTTCAGATAAACATAGTTATTATACCAGAAGAATGTTAAATTCATAACCTCTCTTCAGAAATTTTTTTCAAAGTTTGCTCTTGAAGGGTGTCTCTACTGACATGACACCAGTTTTCTGCCTTCAAATAACTCCCCTGAGTTATTTCTGTTAATGTCTCAGACATTGTTGCTATCAAATTCAGTTTCAAAAATAACAATCAGCTGAACTTATCAGGATTCAGCTGTATCTACTTCATTTTTCCTGGTTGCTGGCTGACTCCTCTAGATGTTGAATGTATGAAGTAGTGTTTCCACCTTTTCAAAATTACTGATCCAGACAGCAAATCAAATCTGTTCGAACAGAAGTTCCTGACGCATGCGCAATGTCATTTTACAATGCAAAGAATAACGTGCATGCTGGTTCTAAATTAGTTACAGTTAGGGACTAGGGACATGCATAGGAGTAACGTAAGTAACCCTAAATTAAGAAAGAACAGGTACAGATGACTTAGCTCTATTGGAGACATGTACAATCGTACATGCAAAAGAAAAGAAAAAAGAAGGTTGACAGGTTGCGCGCAACACGTCAGCGTAAAGACTAACATGGCAGAATTGCAGATGAGTTTCAGTGAGTGAGAGTTCTTTTGCTTTTAAAATAGTGTAAATTTGTAAGAATATTTGCAAGAACTTTGTTTCATCGTAATTTCACAATTTCTACAAAATTCCCGGACAAAATTTATAGTTTACCTGGACAGTGAGTCAATTCCCAGACTGTCTGGGTGAAAACCAGACGGGTGGTAAGACTAGTATGAAGAGATTGGAGAAAATTGTCAATCTCATTCTCGTCATAGCAAAGAGTGACACCATGACGCTAGATGAGAAAATAGCCTACAAGCCAGTTATTAGAAAATGCTTAGAAGAGAATGGAATAGCTTTTTATCCAAAGCTATTCTACTTATGCTTGAAAAACAAATAACTTAATTGATTACATTATAATTTAGTTTTTTTATATTTAACTTAAAATTCATTTTTAACTGAAATTTATTTAACTGTGTTTAAAAGTAAGACAAATGCCTTACTTCTATTTAACCTATCAGTAAGTGTGCATTTTAATGTTGCATAATCAGGCATGTTATATACATTTTATGCATCTTAGTCAAAACACTGTAAAAGTTCTTAGCATATTTTTGTGGATTGTCCAGCATGTCAATCTATCCAGGGGAGACCAGAAAATCTGATATTTCTGTATGGTAAAAACTGTCATGACAGTTTAAGTGAGGTTATACATCCCCTCTACAGGGTACATTAAAAAATGAAAGTTTTTATTCTATTTATAAAACTGAAATTGTCAGCATTACATCAAAAACTACCATATGTTTAATTTTTTTATGACTTAAAGCACTTTCTGAATTCCATGAGTATTTTTTTTTTATTTGTACTTTATTGTTATTTAATTCAAAAACCGAAAATAAACATATGAAATTTAAGAAACTTGCTTTAAATTATCTCAGCTTACACCAATTAACATGGGCATTGTGTGAAATTTGAGAGGAAGGTGCTATTTTTTAAGGTCAGGGTAGGTAGTCAGTGTAGTCCACACTGACTTGCTGCTGTCAATAAGTGGTTAAGGCGATCATTTGGTTGTTGACAAGACTATGTCTTGTTTATAAAATCGTACTGCCCAATGTTCTTACCAGCATGGAGGTATGAAGCAGTACATATCGAGAGTTGATATTTGGCACAGAGTATTAGGTGCCCAAATCATTTGTGCATAAAAAAACCCAGACTCATAGATAGTCAGGGACCGAGAATCGAGTCAAAATAAAATCCAAAATGGCGACCCTCTTCTATAAACAGGCAAAACAGCCATCTCACCCCACTGAAGTAAGGTAGAGGAGAGTACCACCCACAGTCATTCTAAGAAGTGAACTCTGACCTTAGAACTGAACACGTAGTTTCTTCTATGTTAAATAAAATTTGTCATCTAATTTTGTAAATTTGGGAGTGCATCAAATATGACGTTAAAACAGTTTTATGTCATTACAAGTGGGGTTTTTTAACATTATCTAGTATAGTAAAATCATGGGACCGATAAAAATTTGGCGTTATATTAGGGTTGTCATTACATTCAGTGACGTTATAATCGGGTTAAACTGTATATTGTTTCTGCAAAATAAAAAAATAATTTCAGATGATACAATAGCCACAATTATTTTTTCCAAAAACGGGAACTTTTCGTTACGCATTGACAAAAATTCCACCCGGGCCAACACACAATGGAGAGAAATTTTGAAATTAGATAGGTTAATTTTATGAAAGATGCACCGTGGACGATCTTGTGGTCGTGGCTGGCGAAGTTTGAACGATTGCACCCAAAAGCAGCAATATCAAAGAAGATAGGAGAATGAGAACAAGACCTACCTTGAGCATCAAAGTGATTGTCTCTGAGACATAGTCTTGTCCCAAATATGGTTTTGCTGTTTTACTTGTTTTTTCATGGAATTCTGTCATAGAATTTTGAAAACTAGTTGCACTGATAAAATTATTAATGAAGTTTGGAGGGGATCTCGTATCATTCCATTTCTTCTCAATATTGTTAGTGTAAACTAAAGTTTCCAGGTCATATTCTAAGAGAGCTTGTAGGTATCTAGTTATGTTTGTTATTGCATTATACCAGTGTAGTGTCGGTGACTGTAAGAGGCTCTTCTCTGCCAATAACGCATTTTTAACGCTGGAAGGATTTACTAAGAGAGACCTAAATGTGGAAGGCTAAGAACTTGTTTTTGAAATGTCAAAGATTGTGTAGCATTCCTAGCTACAAGTATCCAAAAGAAAAGCAGGTGATAGAAAAAGTTGGCAATACATGGAGGTCAGTCACCCTTTGTAATAGAGATGGCACATGTGATGCTTGGATGTGGAGTTGGAGTCAGGAAAAATGTGTTGAATCTGACTCTGGCATTTTAAATTTAATGTTTTTTTATTTAAATGAAAGAAAATTTATTTTATATTTATTAATTGTTTAAAATGTATTTNATTAAAATTTATATAAAACATCTCTTTGACAAAGTTTTAATTACATCAGTACCATGATTTACTTACCTGTCCCGCCGTTTGAACCGGTGCCCCCGGACGTGCAGTTAACATCTGGGGTGCAATGCGAACTGGATTTCCAAATACAAGTCTCGGTGCTAATGTTTTTTGCCCCGCAATGCCTTGAGTTCGTGGACTGACATTAACAATCTGAACACCGGGAAGAATATTTGGATTCGATACAACCTGCGTCACCACATTTACCGGCTGACCAGGTTGCGTCTGAGACTGCGACTGTGTTGTCTTTGCCACCGTAACCACCGTCGGCGTTGCACTCGAAACCTGTATAACGTTTGTAACCACCGGCGGAGGTGCCTGAGTCAACGGAATAATAACGTTAGTCGAATCGTGGGGCTGATGCACTCCAGAAGATTCCTCTTTGATCATTAATTGCGGCTGTGTCTTGACATTCAATTTTTCCGTCTGCTGTTTTTGTTCGAGCTGTTCTCTCACCGTCAGCCTAGTCACCACCTGTTTGGCATTAACACTGATAGGAATGGTGCTAGGAGGTGTAGTACACGCATTGGGAATCATCAAAGGTGCTTGCTGAGATGCAATATTTGCTAAATTTTGAATCGCAGTCATTCCTGCTGTAGTAACAACGGATGCTCCTGCCATGGTAATGACAGGTCCTACCGTGGTTGCAGGTCTACCAACGTTTCCATTAGGTACTGTTGTTACCTTACCCCTTTGTGCTTGGATCACCGTACTACTGGTATTGGTGGTAGGTTGAGGCGAATAAACTATTTTGATATCGGAATTTCTTCCAGCAGAAGTATTGAGAAGGGCTTGTTGTGCTGGGCTGGTCACTTGACTAATATATCCACTAGCTGGCAATGCACCAGCTAAAGTCACCATAACTGTGTTAGGAGTCGACGGAGATGTTGCATTATTAGTAACCACTTGCGAATTTGTCTTGTTTAGTATCGAAGACGCTTGAGTCAGATGAGTCGAAGTAGGACCGAGTTTCTGTCCATCGCGTAAACTGTCACAATTTATGTGATTTAACGACGTTTGAACATCTTGACTAGGTATATGGATATTTGATGACAACAACTGTGATTCTAGAGACCCAACTAACGCACTAACTGCCGATTCGTCGACATCTGAAGATAACATGTCCTCCAAAGATTTCGCCGACGCCATTTTGTCATCACACATCAAACGAACTAATAATTAAGCGCATGCGTCAACGATTCTAAGTAACGATAACCAGTTAGTTTCGTAAAATATAAACAAAAACATTATGATAACTCGATAAATCTCTAATACTTTTCATTACCGTGTAAAATTAAATATTAAACGATACCAAAAACACTATAATAAACTATTTATCGTTAATTATAATAGTAGGTAATGTGTTTTTATGACTTGGAAAATATAATGAATGTGATTGGGCGCTTACAGAATGAGATTATTTATTTGACAAATAATATTTGTTATAACAATGTATATCTTTTAGCATATTAGGATTGAGTGGATTCTTTCTTTATATTAATCCCGCCATGCATCGCGATATGTAAATCAGCAAATGTGATAAATAGGCAGGCGATACTGTGAGTCGGATAATAACGATCCGTATTCAATATGAGTGGTATGCCGTACCTAGGAAGTAAAATAAGTTTAATTTCCAAGTCGGAAATAAGATATGAAGGTATACTGTATACAATTGATGCCAAAGAGTCGACTGTTGCTCTTGCTAAAGGTACAAATTATAATATTTCAGTTATTTACATCTTTCTATACTCGTGCCATAAGTAAATGGGTAAAGTCTATTAAATAACGCTTATAAAATCAAGTTCAATAATAATTAATCTTAATAGCATTTAAAGAGTGCAATTGAGTCGATATTATCACTATTATCATCATAATATTCGCTTATTATTTAGTTATTTTATAAATAATAAAATTTGTCATGAATTCAACACTAAAACTATGCAGTTAAGCTTCAAATAATATAATTTTTAAATTTTTTGTCGTCATATATTTTTATCTGCTAATAGTCAATATTTCCAAGAGCCTCTCAGAGATCAATAAATTGTTTCCAAATGTAAAGTAAATGATGATACGGAATAAAATACTTATATATGTTTGTTTATACATTATGTATTTCAAAGATACAAAAATTTATTAAATACCAATTGTTTCTATAAAATAGTATGGTTGTGTTTTAATTTGTTTGCTCTCGTTTTATCCTATCATGTTGTAGATTAATTTTATAGCATTTAATAGTTTTATAGTTTTGGTGTATTTTAATTGGTGAAAATAAATTTTAGTTGACCATAAAGAAAATATATGTACGGGCTTATGTTTTCAAGAAGTAAGCAAAAATTATTTTTGCAATAGAATATAAGCTTTACAATTTATCTTCATCCTTTTGTATATTTTTGGGCTCCAATTCAAAAAATTGTAAACAAGTAAATTCCTTCTGTCTTTCCTTAATCTTGAGAATGGAGTTAAGATAAATGGAAGCCAAGATTGGATGTGGAAATTTTTGGGGTAGAGGTTCCAATTAATATATTCGAACTTTGGATGCAAACCGGAAGTTGTGTTATTTCGATTCAAAAATTTTTCCCTGAAAGGTTTTAGGTGACCAGCATGACTCTATTGTTAAAGGAAAAGTATGATGTACGGGGGCAAGTCACTACTAATTTGAGGTGGATAGTATATATTTTAAATAAAATAAATTAAAAATATGATTAAAAATTGCAGCTTGGCATTGTGATGATGTCGAAATAAATAATTGCTTGTTCATAAATTTTTAAATCTAAAAACAAGTTTTAGAATTGGATTTACTAAAATGCCTTAAAAATAATTTAGTACAACTTTTAATATCTTAATTATATCTAAGCATGTGTTTACCCAAAACTACAAACTACCGGTTAATTATTAATTTTGGATTGCAAATTGAATAATGTAAACAACATAAAATTTTGAGTCTATTGTATATATTTGATTCAGATTAACAATAATGCTATAAAATTATACTAATAGCTGAACATAAATGTATTTTCATATGTAAATTTCCTATATTGATGAGAATTTAATAGAAAATGTTGGACTACTCTAGATTCTGCTTATTTCAATGTCAACAACTGTGAACATTTTGTTCAAGGTCATTTTTTTTATATCTAGATTTTTAATTTCTGAATTCAATAGATATGTTAAAATATAAATTTTGATAAGTTAAACATAGAAACTGAACTATTTATGAATCATAAAATATTTTATTATACAGATTACTTTATAGTAAATCAATATTTTCTTGAAAGTTTAGTATGACTAATAGTTTTTTCTTGTTTGTTCTATGTTAAATCTAGCTGTTAAGAGAGTCCTGTAATGATAGTTTTCATATATGACAATCCTTTTTAAGTTTTTTACAAATATTTCACTTAAAAATATAAATACTTCATTTGATGTTTGCAGTGTAATAGTTTATGTAATGTTTTTATTTATTAGGTTTTGATGTAAGCACTGTTTTAATGTTTCTAGTTATGATTACTGTATTACAAATTTTTCTTAAAAATGAGAAGGGAGAAAAGCACCCTTATAGCATGGCAAGTAATTTGACAATACAGTAGAGCGTCGTTTATCCGAATCAATTGGGGACTGGGGTTGTTTGGATAACTTATTTTTCGGATAACCAGTTATGTATGAAAAAATATATTAATTTATCCTGTGTTGAAATTTTTCTCCGTTGTGTGTCGCTTCGCGTTGAATTTTCGTCAATGTTAAGCCTAACAAAGACTATTGTATCGTTAAAAATTATTTTATTTTGTACAAACAAAATAAATATATTGAAAAAAATAAACACAATAAAAAATTATACTTCAGAAGTTAATTTAATATCAAAAACGTAAATATTTGAGTAGCCGAAGACTTAGCCAAAGATTACAGTGCCACAGCACTGGCGAAAATTTAAATTTGTCAACTGGAATTCCTTCGGATAAACGACGCTCTACTGTATTCTATGACTCTAGAATATTTTTACTTATTTCCCAAATGTAAAAAAAATCACCAATTTTAGACTATAGAAAATAAGAAAATTCTTTAATTATTTGATGATATACAATACAAAATAGAATTTTCTGAATCTCAAAATAGGGAATATTTATCATCATACATTTAGTATCAAAAGTTTTATTCATATTAGCAGTTTTGCTAATTAGAAAAAAGTAAACAAACAACTTGACACTTAAATGTGAATTTCAACATATAATGAACTAGCAGACCCCGCCACACGTTGTTGTGACTCAAAATGTATCTATTATAAATTTATAACACTTCCCCGTGGGGGGAATTTTTCGAAAAATTTCTTCTTAGTGTACATTCTGTTGACGTACCCTATTAAAACGTACAAAACTAAATGTTA